ATGGGCAAGGCGGCCGCCGCCGAGGCCGCCCGCAGTGGACGCAAGACGATTTCCTACGATGACGTTTCCCGTCTTGCCCAGATTTTTGATCGATTTTCTTTTCTCCAGGACGTCCTTCCGCCCACATCGACGACGGCTCTTCAGCATGGGAGCTCGGCGCGGCGGCAGGCCACGACCAGGCGCGGGATCCCCAAAAAAGCGTCTGAGCCGCTTTCAGGGCGAAGTAGGCCGATTTGTAAGGACGGGGCCATCTCGGGCGACGCCAAAACAGAAAAGGGAGGCTATAAGCCCACCACGGCGCGGGCGGCTCACGCGTCTGTTGGAATAGAATCACCGAATCAAAAGAAACTGCGGTTTTAAAGAACCATCTTGATGATCTGGACCTACAGTCGCTGGGATGATGATGTTGATGAGTAGAAAGGACGCCAGGTAAATGAGACATTATTAGATTTACACTTCATTTGCCCAATAGCAAAAAGTATACATATATCGTTATTGTCTCATTACTTATATTCCCTTTCCTAAGGTGAAATACGGAAGGGTTGATAAAGCGTACAACTGTAATGCTTTACTGAATCCATTACATTATCAAAAAAAATTGATACACTGTGCGAATTATCTTTTAAGCTATATTTATGATAAGGGCTTTTAGGCATTGTTTTCTGTTAGCGCTTTTCGCTATATGAATACAACATTCGATAAATTGACTTAAATGAAGTGTCTTGTTCTACTTTTTACCCCAACATTAACAGTTCTAATAGTTTTATTTTTACTACTGAATTTTACATAACCTACATATCCTTGATTACAAGGACTCATGTCTGTTCAAAGCACACCTAAACTAGAGCGCTACCGGGTGGAAGATTTATCTATAGAGGAACTACGGAGAGAGTATGTAACTCTCAAATCAATACAATTATCTCAACACACTGAAGAGGAATTGCTCAATAGAAGAATAGAAATGCTGCGTGAGGAATCGGTTCGGCTTCAACAAAGTACTGAAATTGAAGAGGAACATGTAGCGAATCAGCTTCTCAGACGCCTAAATAATGCCGAGCGCGATGTTAGAAAATATGAGCAGCTTATCCACGAGGAAGAAGAAGCGATGGTGGAGCTGACAAAAGAGATTTCCGTGATTCATCGTCAACAAAGAGAGGTCGAGAGCGAATTAGAGAAACGCCAGGAGGAACACATCGTGCTTCAGGGAAAGTTGCTAAATACCGAGTTGAAAAAAAGTGAGCTAGGGCGCGAGCTGCTCGATGAATGGCAGAGTTATTTGGGCGTATTGGTCAACCAGCTCGCCGTTTGGCGTGATAAGGAAAGTAAGGAGAATAAGGAGCGGGAGGGCCGTGGCCTTGAGCCTACCACGCCGCTCATTCCGGAGGACGAGCCCACCTCCCCTGCCCACCCCGCCGTGGTCCGTTTAGAGTGGCAGCTGAATCGGCTGCTCGAGGCCCATGCGAAGGCGTTGGAGGGTACGGAGGAGCGGCGCCGGCAGTGCGCGGCGCTATCGGAGCGCTTGAAGGGAATCCAGGACGCGGCCTTCCTCGACATCGCCCAGGCCACGAAGTACCGCGAGAGCCTGCGGGACGCACAGGTGAAGCTGCTGGGCTTCAACCCTCGAGAAGGCTTTTGTTGAGGAGCATTCCTTCTTCTCCTCCAGCAGCCGGGGCTCACGGGGGTAGGGTTACGGTTTCTATAACGGGGATGCCGTCGATGTAAAAAAAAAAAGATTTTTGTTGCAGTTACACGGGTATGAGGTGTGCGTGGCCCTCTTCCCTTTTTCTCTCTCTCCCTTCTTATTTTATTTTCTCCTATCGGCTTCGAGTTCGATTTCTATAGCGTGCCTGGGAGAGTAACCTGTTGGGTCCTTGTTCTATATCCCCACAAAAGAAGTGTATGTGTTTCATTATATATGAAAATTTATATACTATTCATGAGGGATCGGATTGCTCAATCAGTTATGCATGTGTGTGTAATAACAAGTTATCTATACCTTTGTCACATTTCATAGTTTTATATTTGCTTATTCTTTTCAAATGCTGCATTGATTTAAACAATTCCTTTTTGATTTATTTTTAAGCTTTTATTGGTGATGGGTTTACTTCTTGGTAGTTCTACGTGAGCCTACTTATGCTTAGATAAGCTTGTTATTTGCACACACATATGCACATATACATGTGCATACCTATACTCAGAATACTAGGGTTCATCGAGGCAGAGAGGTTGAGGCGCATGTAAGAAACAGAATAACATAAACATTGATTTACGAATTATTTACTTAAAATGTAAAAACTCTGTGATAAATTATGCATTTTATGCTATTGGTCTCTTACTATACATTTTTAGGTGATGACATATTACGTCAAAAAGGGTATATTCAATCTAACTGTTTTTATATTTTCCAGTTTGACTCCTTTAATTAATCTTAATTTGAAAGTTTTTCCTCCATTTACATAGTAAATATTATTGATCCTACTTATCATCTCAGTATATCTAAAATGAATATCGAACTTAAAAAAAAACAAAGCAAAGAGATGATTGACTTCAAGAGCTGTTTGTGTTAATGTGGATAAATTTCGATTTTTATGTGAAATTTCCCTTTGTCTTCATTGTTGTGCTATTGACAACAACCTATGAGGATTTATTATTCATCCCCAGCGGCGTTTCTTTTTGTTGTGGTGGTGGTTCTGTGAAACTTATTGCCAGTAATGCGAGTGTAGCTTCCCAGTTGTACATGACCATGTCGATGTAACTCCACCCCCTTTAAAAAATATATATATATTTTCTCGGTGTTCTAGCATTCAAGATTTGATTACATCCCTCTCTTTCTGTGTAGATAACCATCAATCTTTTTGTTTGCGTGAGTAAACTAACCGCAGCCTTGGCACCGCCCTTGGACGATGCCTCGAGCGGCCTTCCTTGCTAATGACGCGGCCGGGGTGATCTCGCGCCACCCTCCCCCTCCCTCGGGCCCCGCGCTCGGCATTGTCCTGTGCTTCCCCCCCCCTGGCCCGGCCTTGGCGGCGGACGGGGGCCTCCGCGAGGTCCTCATCCCCCTCAGGCCCGCCGACCTCCCTTTCCTCACCGTGGGCGCCCTTGTAACGGAGTTCGCGCGGTGTGTTGCCAGACGCTAC